AACACCTGCTATAAGGATACTGGCCTCTGGGGCATCTACTTCGTTTGCGATCCATTGCAGTGTGAGGTATATCACAATCGATTTTAGCATAGTATTATTTTTATATATAGTACGAACTATTTTAGGATATGATCTTCAACGTGCAAACCGAATGGATGCGTCTGTGCACCATGGTCACCGAGGCAGAGGTTGAGCGCGCCAAGAACTTGTTGAAGACAAACATGCTGCTGCAATTGGATGGTACCACACCTATTTGCGAGGACATCGGTCGCCAGATTCTGTGTTATAATCGCCGCATCCCGTTGCATGAGCTGGAGCAGCGCATCGATGCCGTCAGTGTGCAGAATGTGCGCGACGTGGGCATGAAATATATTTATGACAGATGCCCCGCTGTGTCCGCCGTTGGGCCCGTTGAGAATCTGCCCGACTACAACAGAATTCGCTCCTCCATGTACTGGTTGAGGGTTTAGGAACCATGGCGGTGCTAAAACATTGTTGCTAGCCGAGTAGTTTAATTGAAGAAAATTTGATGCAAGAGAATCAGTAAAAACCAAAATAAAATAAAACACTAAAATAAAATGCAGTAATTGTTCGATATATTTTTTTGATATTTATAACTTAATATTATTAAGAAATTTGTGTAAATTTAAACCTAGTCGTGCGAGTATTTGATCGGTATGCCGCTGAGACCCTGCTGCAATTTGGCTGGTTCGGTTTGTCCCAAAGCTGGATCCAAGCCCTGCCAAGTGCGATCCTCAAACGTTAGACCCGTGTCGGTTGTCATCAGAGCCATTTTTGCCTGTGTAGCCACCGTGGTATTGTTTACATCGAGTGTCTCATCGCAGCCAGTACCGCCTCGCATACGTCCGCTGACCAGGCTCACATCCTGTGGCTGCACAGCCTGCGCATCAAATGGCAAAAAGCTGCGACCCTTGGGCAGCAATTGCTTGAAATCTGTAACATACGCCTCCGGGTATTTCATATGCCAAGCTGGATTCAGCGCCATTTCTGCCTCGAAGACGGATACAATGGGCTTGTAGTACTCCTTGGAATTATACATATTGTTAAAGGGACAACCAATTAGCACAAAGCAATCAATCTCCAGAAAGTTGGCCAGTTTGGCGGGATTTATGCGACCAACGGAAATCAGCTGGGTCTTGATGCCACGACTCTTTGCCATTTCCTGCAAACGCGTCACCACGTCCAAATAACCGACAGCGCTCAAAGTGGCCACAATAAGACCCAAGGTCTGTGCATCTTTGCACTTCTCTATGTAGTAATAGCGTCGGCGTATATATTGAGCTGTTAGCGGATTTTTGGCACTCAGTGTGCCAGTGGCACCGTCCAGTATGTGCCACTGGAACGCTTTAGTAGTTAGCGACAAATTGGCGAAACGTTGATTATCGGCACCCACGAAAATGCAAATACGCTCGGCATTGTCGGACTCTGCTGATTGCTTGCTCTCGATGCAGTCTTCAGCCGGTGGTGGATATGGCTCAATGAGCAGCTTCTTGGGCTGCAGCACATCGCGCAGCTGGTTATAAAGCGTATCTTCGCCCTCCGCCAGCACGCCACTTGCTGGCGGCTGCTCGTGCAGATGCTGATAACCTATGTCCAGGTAGACGCAAACCTCTCGTTCACCGCACTCCGGCTGCAGAGTAGCTAGCTGTTGCAGTATTGTTGCCAGCTCTATCGACAACACCGGATACAAATAAAGTACCGGTAGGCGACTTGCTTTGCTGCGGCAAGCATTGCCAAAATGAATCATGCTGTCTGCCTCCACATGAGCCGCAGCTATTTCATCCACGCAACAGCTGCCATATGTGGTGTCTGCTAAAATGAATATTTTGCACTCCTCTGCTGCCAGAGCTGTCTGTAGATAGGTGCTGATGGCATTGCTGTGTGGCAGATAATCATCTGGGAATTGCAGACAGATCTGAGAAATGTGTTAAAACGTGGAAACGATTGTTAGTGGTAGAAATTACGCACCCGCTTATAACCATTTTGTCGTATCCAGTTGCTGCTAACTTTTTTGTGCGTCTCGTTCCAGATTTGTTCAAATATTACCGGCAATTCAGCTGTCAATTCTGTCTGGCGCTCCAACGCCGCCGTATCCAGGCTGGAAAAGGCAGATGCTGTCATTATCCCTTTTAATAATTCGCAAAGATCGTAAAATAAACAAATGAAGTGAAAGGCCGATAGACTAGATTATATGTGACTACCTATCGATAAGTTGTAGACATTGCACAACAATAGTTGTCTCGCTCTAATATAAGAAATTTGAGGTATTTTAAAATATCAGTGCACATCGCGCAAAAAACGAGCTATCGATAATTAAGTGCTTTTCACATCACTATGTTAACTGCTCGCCAACTAAGAAGGCAAGCGAAATTTGTCGAAACTGACCAGACATATTTGTTTTTGTGGGAAACAGACGCGCCATCGAATGAGAATACGCGCGCATAACTCAACGTGAAGCGACAGCAGACAAGCATAAATTATATACGAAATATTGTGAAAACTTTTGCAAATCGACAACTAAAATGGATGACTCACGCGAGGAAAGCCAATTTATTGTAGATGATGTGAGCAAAACAATTAAAGAGGCAATCGAGTCGACTATCGGAGGCAATGCGTACCAGCACGATAAGGTAAACAACTGGACCGGCCAGGTGGTTGAGAATTGCCTGACTGTGCTGACCAAGGAGCAGAAGCCATACAAATACATTGTCACCGCCATGATTATGCAAAAGAATGGCGCCGGCTTGCATACGGCCAGCTCCTGCTATTGGAACAACGATACCGACGGCAGCTGCACAGTGCGCTGGGAGAATAAGACCATGTACTGCATCGTTTCCGTTTTCGGCCTGGCTGTCTAGGCCAAAAATCAAGAACACACAAATCATTAACAACATCAATGGGGGAGGGATTAACAAGATTGCCTTGCATTTGTTTTGCGTGTGAGTAAAAATTAAATACAATATTTTCAAAAGTCAATTAACAATTGTCACGTTCTACAGCTGGACACAGAGCCCAAATCAGTTTACTTAACTCTGCTAAAATACTTCAGCGAACTGTTTGTTCAAGCCACATACATATAACAAGGAATCTAACCAATCTATATCAAGTTACAACGACGAGCCAAGCATTGTCAAATTCTAAGAATGCAACAAACACATACAGCAAAATTTCCAATTATTTAGCAAAATGAAATGTATTTGTATTATTTTCTCGCGTTGTGAATAACAAAAACTGCACGCAAGTGTTAAATGTTACTCACGGTTTATCATTTAAAAATCTAAATAAAATGAAATGTAAAAATAAATTGTTTTTTTTTTTTTTTTTTTTAAGATACAAAAAACGGCACGCAGCGTTATATTTTTCTCACGATTTGTCATTTAAAATACAAATAAAATATGTAAAAATAAATCGTGTTTTGTAGGTCCTCTTGTCGGCCTTGAACTTAAATCGGCCCGAAATTGTTTAATCGATGCAACTGCTGCAATCAATACAGGGTGTTTTTTCTACTGTCTTCCTGACGCTAAATTTGCCACTGTTATTTCTTGCGCTGAAAGCGCCTGGAAGACGTCAGCGCGGGCACAGTGCTGGGCAGCCGCAGTGATAGCATATCCGAGCGGGCTTTAGGACGGGCATTTACAATGTGAGCATAGGCAATGATGCGATCCTTGGATGTACGCAGAATGCGTGAGAGTATATTGACGTCCACTTCATGCTTCTCGCTGATGAGCAGGGCAAGCACAATGAAATGGGTGAGCGCCTTCTCTGTGCTAAAACTGGTGCGTGTAAAAGATTTGGCAACATTGGGATCGGCAAAACGATGTCGTACATCGTTCTCCACCTTTTCCGTGATGCGCGACAGTTCAACATGTTTCATTTGTCGTTTGCGCAGCGCGATTAGCGATTGCAGCGCATCCATGTATATAATCAATTTAAGGTTGAGGATGTCCTGTTTCGTGGTAACTTCTTTATCCTGTATACGCTTGATGCAATCGCGCAAGTAGTCCGACTCGATGCTGCACGTGAATGTTATTAGTTGAGATTTGGTTATTGGCATAATTAACTTACGGCAGTGTCTCCAATGGCGTCGAGTATACACTGTTGGCTTCTTCGTCCAGGCGATCCAATAGGGATTGCGGCACCACGTCCTCCACGTCGTAAATTTCGCTTACTTTTGTTGCCGCCTTATCACACTTGGGCACAATGGTGGCCAAGTATTCCGCATTGTTTGCGTCCACCTCGGGCAAGCTATTATCCTCTTCATCCTCGCCATTCTGGCGCACAGAACTCTGCACGGTTTCATCCAAATCTTTACGCATCACATCCACATTGACCATCATTTGCTCGTGATTGGCCACATAGCGGGATGCCTTGCGTCCGCCAAATTCCTTGAGCAGCTTCTTCGTGGCATGCTCTTTGCTTAGCATTGGTCGGTTCTCCAGCTTCTCCATTTTCTCGTAGATGTGATTGGACAGCAGCGCTTGTTGCACAGGCACGATTGTTGCTTTATTTGTGGTTTTGTTGCGCACGCAAATATACGTATCAAACTCTTCGCTGTCCTGCAGATCCCCCACATAGGTGTTAACACCGGCCATGACCAATGCGCGCTTGCGTGGATTTCGATTGTTTTTGCTTTCAACCAAACAAAAATTAGAGCTGGCGCCGAGCGAGCCGTTCTGAAAATTTACTGCAACCCAAAGCCGTGTTAATGGCTGCATGCTTTTGTTTTGTTCGACACTTACGCATTGTGGGTAAATATGCATCTTTTTTGCGTTTGTGTACAGTTTCAATTAATGTTTTCTCATCCATTTTTATTATTAATTAAATAAACCTTAACTATCTTAAAGTTTGAATGTGCCGTTGCACGTGTAAGAATTCTAAATAGCAAAGCAGCTGATGTCCGTTGCGGCGTTGCCAGATGATTGCTGTCACCAGAGTTACCAAGTTCAGCACGCGCGGCGCAGCCCGCCAATTTTAAAATGCTATGGGTTTCGCACCAGTTCTGCATTTATATTAAAGCCCGAAAAGTTGTAATGCTTGCTTTTGACTATTTTCACAACTTGCTGTAATATTGAAAATGTTAATAATTAAATTTTAATTGTTTTAGTTTTAACTCACCAGCACCAGTTTTATTAAGAAAACTGCAAATGTCAGAAAATTAATGCTCATAAGTGCTGCTTCCGGTGGAAAATCCAAATTGGATTCATCCAACAGGCTGCGTCGTCGTCGTCTGTGACGCTCCGTTGGCTGCCACAGCACCGAGAACTGTTGCTCTGTGGGACGTATAATGCACTTAGTGTCAATTCTTTATTATTTTAAATACGCACCAATAACTTTCATGAAAGTATCGCGTAGTTGCTTCAGTAATTTAATTTTGCTTTCAAAGTTGAGCGCTGATTTCTTTATCCAGCCGACTTGCATTTTTTTCAGAAATTTTATAAAACCCTGCATGCTGGGCAATTGCAGCTCGTCATCATCTACATCGGTATCTGACGGTTCGGTGGCCGTCTCCACAATGCCATCTGCATCCTCAGCACTCTCCACATGCGACGAGTGACGGCGTGATGTCGTTTCGACTTTGGGTGTAACCACCAAATCCACTTCCACTGGCGGCATGCTAGAGCTATTCCGCACCACCAGCTTGGTCCTGGCATGTATCACCTGACTGCCGTTTGGGACCACAATTTGAGAAGTGTGTTTTAGCCCGCCTGCATCGCTGACTATGAGCGGATTGCTTTGACTGTTGCTCAGTCCAAATCGTTCGCGCTGATACTCGATCCACACAGCGCTGGGCGTGGTGAAACCCTCGGGACTTACATTTCCTTCAACGGGCAGTTGCTTGACCTGCTTGGAGGCTTCAATTGGCTGCGAGTGCGAGTGAGATATCTCCACCCACTCTGTTAGACTGAAATGGGACAGTGCCAAGAGCAGGCACAGCTTGGCCACAAGCTGTTGCATCTTGTTCGTTAAATGGCTCCGCAGCGACTGTCTGGAAAAGTGGTTGAAAAGTCTTTCGTAAAAAAAGGGTGTCAACCGTTGCATGCCGCTGAACGGATCTGTCTGAGATTTGTGGCACAGATAAACAAGATTCATTTTCAAGCATTCTTTTATTTATCTAAATTGTTTTCTTTTTTATTTTTATAATTGGTTCTAAAATACGAGTACAGCTGAGCGTTTTCGGGTTGGTCTATATGATCATATTGTATGCATATTTTATGTACTGTAATTCGTTAGGTTTTTCTTTTGGCTATAAACTAGTTTTGATGCTTAAGAAAAATTTAGCACAGAGATTTCAGATACAAATGTTGTTGGCAAAGCGTGTGAGAAATATAATTTGTTCGGATGGAAATTTGATTTCCCTTTCTTATTTTTAGCTAGAGCAAGCGCTAGTGCAAGCATGAAAAAAGATATTTCGAAATTCACAGTTATGTAATAGGTTTAGATCGCTGAAAATTTTTAATTTTTGTTTTTTTTTTTTTCACTTTTGAACAAGGTGCTAATTAAAATTTGTCCTTAATTTACAGTCAGTGACAAACATATGTATGTGTATATAAACAATAAAATATGTTTAGAAAAAGCTATGGATAAGTGGACGCTATTTGATGTGCTTGCAGAGATGAAAGCGCATCCACTTCAACGCCTTATCGCCAATGGCCTCCACTTTCGGCGAGCTGGTCAGACGATGGCAGCCGGCACAGTTCGATGGGGATGGATAGCTATCGCTGGGCGCGCTATGGCAGCCGGACAGCGGTTGCATCAGTTCTGGATTTGTTGCGTTTTCGGTTGTTGTTGTTGTTGTTGCTGTTGTTGTTTTGCCACCTGCAGCAGGTCAAATGTCACCAGCGCTGTCCCAGCGCACATCGTCTGCCTCATGGGTGAGATAGCGCCCCAGGCCCACTTGCGTCTCCAAATTACGCAAATCCCTGTATGTCTGCTTATCCTGCAGCCAATAGTGCATCAGACTCTTGTCGCATGTGTAGCGTTTGCGCTGCTTCACCTGCAGCAGGTTGTTGATTAGGTCAATGGCTGGCGGGAGGGTGGATGAAGAAGATGTTAGATATTTTTGGCATATTCATATAATTTTACGGTTCATCTTATGAGTTTTGTTTTAAATTTTAAACATCGAATTTCCACCCATTTCCCGAAATACGAAATTTTGTTCATTCATAATAGTGGATTTTGCGAAAAGTGTGAAACATCTCTTGAATAAATTTTTATGAAATTGCTTGGAAACGAGTTTGAAACCGAAACTGATGGGTGAAACATGTCTCCCATGGATTCAAAAATAAAGTTCTTTAAAAATTAGTTAAAGGCTAATCGGATGGCAAACTAGAAAGTTGTATTCAAGTGTTTGCCGCGAAAAAACAGATTAATATAGACATCTGGGCTTACCATTCGAGGAGATCTCCTTCCATGGATTTGGCGGATACATGAATGCCGCGTTCTGTATCTGATCGTTAATATCCTCCTCCTCGTTAAAGGGAAATGTGCCGCTGAGGCTCACATAGATGATGACACCGACGCTCCACATGTCCAGCGAGCGATTGTAGCCCTTGTTGCGTAACACCTCGGGCGCCAGATAGGCGGGCGTACCCACAACCGAACGTCTAAAGGATTTCTCGCCAATGATGCGCGCATAGCCAAAATCACAGAGCTTCACCTGCGGAAATTCAGCATCCGAAGAGAGCAACACATTCTCCGGCTTCAGATCGCAATGCACTATGTTCTGGGAGTGCAGATACTTCAGGGCAATCAGGATTTGTGTGATCAGAAACTTGGTCACACGCTCGCTGAGACGGCCGCGTGAATGCGAGAGTATCATCTCCAGCATGTCACCCTTAAGCTTCTCCATGACCACAAATATGCGCTCCGGTGTTTCGAACATACGCTCCAGATTAACGACGCCACAGTGGGTTATGTTTTGGAGTATGGCCACCTCGTTTTTCAGCTGTGCCTCCTGTTTGGTGGGGAAGCGTAGCTTGTCGATTACCTTGATGGCCACCTCCCGCTTGGTCTTCTTGTGGACACCCCCATAGACGACACCGAACTGACCGGAGCCGAGCACTTCGTCGGGAAAGATCTGATACAGCTGACCCATGTCCTGCACCTGTTCCTCCGATTCGCAGCATTCTGTAAAGAGAGAGAGAGAGAGAGAGAGAGAAATTTGGTATTAGGAACTCGTAGTTAAATGGTCTTCCTGGGAAGCTGCTACTTACGCGTGTTGGTCACATGCACGTAGGCTTGGCGTATGCTGGTCTCCCAGCTCTTGGCTATGTCTGTGCCGATGCCACTGTCCGGCGGTGGCAGGCGTACGGCATGATCCACACCCACGCCCAGCTGAGGATCCTGGCCCACGTAGTAGTTCAGATTGGCGGTGCACAGCTCAAAGCAGTAGTTGCTTTCGGGTCGCGGATCACGATTTGTTTTGATTGAAAGTAGGTCGGCGAGGGGCAGTTCCTTGTGGTACTTGCTGCCCTGCTCCGATATGAACAACGTTATGGTCTTGGAGTCCAGCCGCCAATAGTAGCGTTTCAGCGCCTTGTCCATGGAGGTGTAGTGCACCAGCCAACCCTCCTTGATGGCCTGGCCACCACGTTTCTTTGTGTGCTTCACAGACTGCACAATGCGCATGAGGGGTATATTGGCGCTAGGTGAAGAGGAGGATGAGGATTGCGACTGCTCCGACTGGCCATCGCTGGATTTGGTATCACCCGCAGTGCTGCTACTGCTACCATCCATGCCACCATTGACTAGCTCCGGTGGTGAGTTATGTGCATTGGTCAAGGCCTTGGGTGGCTCCCTTGGTCGTCCAGCTACCAGATTTGTGCCGCTGCTGGCTTTGTTATATTTGGCATATTCAGTTTGTGGACCATCTTCAAAATCGCTGTCATCGAACTCCTCGCGAAAGAAATTGTCGCGCTCCTTGCGCGGCGTCCCATCGCTAATCTCCGCCTGCAATTGACTGAGCTGCGTCTCGCCGGTGCAGTCCTGCGGCACCTTATCCATGCACTTCTTGTGAGTATTGTACTGGCAGTCACGGCATTGCAAGCCCTGCTTGAACAAGCCCTTCAGCAGTTTCTTGCAGTGCTGACAGACCGTGGGTATGCCGTATGTGTGCACCATGAAGGTGTGTGGAATCCGGAGCACCATCTGACCGTTCCGGCTGCTGGCGGAGTGAGTGCGCTGATGACGGCCGGTATATCCTGGTATGTTCTACGGATGAAATGCAAATAGTTTTACAAAAAAATAATCGTGGACGCGAGCGCTTGACTAGCAGATACCCTACTTGACTAGGAGATTCCCTTGCAAATTATGGCTGCCATGCATTTCTATCAATTTTGGGGTAACACAATTAAAAATTTCAAATAAAGTTAACCAACGTGAAACTATGATAAAAGTTGTAGAAATTGGTATATATAGGAGCAGTCGGACGAACGGGGTTGCCAGGTTTTGTTTGTCATAAATATCGTCAGGTTATATATATTTTCAAATCCTAAGTAATGTCATTTTTTATACCTAAGAGTTGATCATTCCAAAGCTTGCGCGATTACAGAATATTTGACTGCAAACCTAATGTAAATATGTATATTCTGTTCTATACTCTCCACTCTCCACTCTCCACTCTTCTCGACTCTCAACTGTCCACGCCCATTTTGCTGTTCCCACTATTCAGCCGTTTAATTGAATTCTCATTTAATAACGTTTCCCTACGAGTATTTAACTGCATTTCAAATAAAAGCCAATTAAGCATTTTAGCAAAATTAAATCAAGTTTATTCAAATGTAAATAATACAAAAAAAAATTAAATGCAAAATTAAGTAAATAGTTTTCAAATACTCGTAGGGAGCCCCGTTACCTTACCGTTATCAAGCACTCGCCTATTGCCACACCTAAGTACCCCAGTTGGTGGCCCACTTTTAATTCTTAATAATATCATTCATAAGCTCCGACATGCGTTTTACCAATGAACTGCTGGAGTCATGACGACCCGTCGACTCCTCGTTGGAGAGAAGCGACTGCTGTGAGCTGCCGGATGGGCTGCGGGGCGGCTGCAATGTGAACGAACGTTGCGATGTGGCATCAGTAGACCGGTTGCAATTGTTGGGTATTTTCACCACACATCGTTTGTGATAGTTTTGACCACAGCCTGTGACGGGTTTATGGGAATAAAGTATACGCCACAATCGAGTTAGTTTTTATGAGACAGGATGCGTGCATGTGTGTGTGTGTGTGTGTGTGTGTAATTGTTGTGCGCATATGTGTGTCTTTGTGTGTGTGCGTTGTGTGTGTCTCTGCTGTCAGGCTACATACCATCACATTTGAGTCCTTGACGCACCAGACCAAACAGCATCTCGCCACAAAAATCACAGAATGTGGGCGCCTTATAGGAGTGCACGTTCAGGCTATGCGGCTTCAGTGTTGGCATTTCCGATGTCGGATACAGTATGGCTGTTGGGGGCATCAAATGGATATGGTTGATGACATTTTTGTTAAATGGCTGTCACTCCTCTTGCTCGCAAAGCACAGATTAAAGGCGACAGCGCACACATTTCATATACAAGTACTTACGACTGGCTGTTAATACAATTTCCACCAATGTCTCGTCCACAACTTCCGCGGCGGAATTGATAATGTGCAGCACATTGGGTGTGCTATAGTCATGTATGAAGAGCAGTATGCGCTCTGACAGATATGTGAGTCCGCTATCTGGTATCTGGTAGAATAGAAACAAGAGCGAGAGAAAGGCAGATATAGAGTGAGAGTGAGAGAGGGGCAGAGAGAGAGACAGCAAGAGGGAGCAACCTTTTGTTAGTGTGGACAATGTCAATTTTGATGTTTTGCTTAATTTTACGCTCATTTTGCATATGGGTTTTATCATCATACATATATCAGTTATCATACCCATATCTTAATTGATTGTGCGATAAGATTCTGGCGTCAGCAGACATACTTATGCATGTATATATATATATACTATCAAATGTGTTATCGATATCAATTTAAATAAGACTACAAAAATACCGTTACTTATATGTAATGAAATCAGTTGAAACATTCTATGCTTGAAATACTCTATTAATGAGGTATTACTTTACATCTTCTATCTATATTATGTATATTTATATATTTTAAATCATTTCATATGCAAAATCTTGGCTATTTTATATTTGCCTAAGCGGGTTCTAAGTTGATCAGATTGGGGATTCAATGTTATTGGTTCGAGTCGGTAGCTGAGCTAACAAATATTTGTTCTGGGCTTGCAGCCTTGGTTTTATTCTATTATCATTTAGTTTTTATATTGCCAATGTGCCATATTTATTTAACTGGACCTTTGGACCTTTTGTAACTGCAAAGCATATTGATATTCGTCTAAAATTCCATTTGAAAATTGGGCGAAAATGGGAAACCCTAAGTAATTGTGGCATGGTATGCCACTTTTCAGCTACTTGCGATACAAGTTGGTAACATAGCCATCATTGGCCATTATTTGGAATGGACATTGAAAAATGATACTTATGTCGGCGGGAGCAGCTGTCAAAGCTCAACAAAGCTTCGGGAGAGGCCACAGAATGTGCCACGCGCGTAGCAGCTTGGCAGCAGCGTTAAGGAACGAATGCTGGTGATTCGGGCCAGGAATGGAGGCAATGTGTCCCAGCTGCCAATGGTTAATTGAATTCGTCATGGATAACTGCGCAAAACGGAAATGTCTACTCTATGCGGCTCCGACTTACTTAATGAAATTAAGCAATTATAGTGCACACATAAATTTATTAGGTACACACTCCTACACAAACCAGCCCCACATACACACACACACACGTGCACGCACAGACAGGCATAGTTGGCAGTATGTTAGAATATGCAATCTATAGGCCATGTAACATGGAGCATGGCTAAAGTTGGTCTGTTGACATGACCGCGTTCCGCCTGCGCGGCTAGCAAAAAATATTGACTTGTTGTGTGTGTGTTTCTGCCTTTTGAATAATTAAGTCGACAGATGTTGACCCATTTATGCGATCCCAGCTAGCCACAATTTTAATACCCTTTTAAGGGATATTACAATTCAGGCATGAAGTGCGTAAAGCTTAGAAGGACACATTTCGTTTGTCTGTCTGTTTCTATGCAAATAATTCTAGTTTGCAATTAGCTTCGTCATGCTGTTGATATCTGAACCTGCCATTTATCATATAAACTTTGGATTACTAAATAGAAAAAAGATAACCTTTCCTTATGTAGAATTTCTCACCCTTTAAGGATTTTTTTATTACTATAATCTTGGGCTTTACACATATTTGGATAATACATTTATGCCCAGAAAATTTAGAATAAGAATCGGACATAAGAACCGATGTTTTTCTGGAAAACATTTTCACAAACAAAGGACTAAGAGAAGAAGGTCATTCGCTGCATGTATAGGTGTCAGGGTATCTGCTAGCCGGGCAGCGCCGCCATCTTGCTTGTTTTCATTTGCTGAGGGAGGAGGAGGTGGCGGAGAAGGAGGAGGAGGGTTTGGGGACAGGTCGATGGTTAAGCGCGCACTCACCTTGGTGTTGATGAAGTCACATGCCAAATCCTTGAGCGATTTAAGCGTGAGCGCATTTACCGGCACACAGACTGCATCGCGAATGCTGCCAAATTGAAAGAGAAATGTTACCTCCGGCCCCTCCATGATGACGGGCACGCTGCCAACGCCGCTGCTCGCGACGCTGCCAACGCCGCTGCCGCTGCCGTTGGTGCTGTGATGTTGTTGTTGTCGCTGGGCCAGGATTGCGTCTTGGCTGCACCGCCTCTAGATTGGCGTTATCTCAATAAAAGTTACGTTTAATGCTGCAAGCTGGCAGCAGCTGTTTCTTCCTGCAACTTCCGCCTGGTGGCCGTGTTGCAAATGCCAAGGGCGAACGATGTTTTGTACTCTTTTTGCTTATTGCTTAATCCTGCTGCTGTTCTTGTTGTTCTTGTTGTTGGACGTTTCAATGAAAGTTTGCGGTTGGCTTCGGATTCAGTTGGTGGCGGTGGGTATTTTGTAATTCTAGACAGCCATTAAACGTACCTGAAATTATGTCCAAAAATGAAATATTATTAGTTTAGCTTCTATCGACATTTATTGGCAGACGAAAATGCACTTTATTAAACCGCTGCCCATGAAATATGAAACAAAAATCAATTAAAATTTGATGGCTTTTGCATGGTAAGTTGGCGGAAGTTGGAGGAGGGACTGGGACCGACTGGGAGATACCCTTTTGGTTGAACGCGTAAGGCATCAAAAAGGGAAATATTCGGATTCCGAATATGCAATTATAGCATAGATATTCTGTGAAACTTGAAAGTTATCGATAAAAATGTTAAATTCGTTCTCTTATATGTATATTTGAAAATTAAGCATTATTCACGTGGCTAGATTGACTCAGCTCGACATCCTGATCAAAAATATAAATACCTTAGGGGATCGGAGCAGCTTTGCCTGTTACATGCTCTTGCACAAAATAAATATGCTCTTTTTACTTAGCAATTATAAAGGATATAAAAATGCAGCCACAAGCAACTACAATTAAGGTACAGTGCGTCAAAAATAGAATGCAATTATTTATTATGATTCGATTTGCCAAGTATTTTTAAACTGAGAATATTTATTTATTAATTCTTTGGCGCTGATTCTGTTTAAGACTTCTGTGTTTAGTTTTTAGTAAACAGTTTTAAGACTGGAATTCAAGTCAACAATCATTAAAAACGTATCAGATATATCAAAACTATTTGCCACTGATTTCGATGGAGTCGCTGCTAAAAATACCTTTATGGAAAAATTTTAAATTACAAACTGACAAAAGGTTTGTTAGACATATCGAATTTTGATTTAGGGCATGATATATATAGATACATATAGCAACTAGCTGATCAAAAACGTAAAAGCGGGTTTTTTATTAGCACTTAATCAATATTCAAAATTTGAGTAAGGTATGGAATTAGAGGATATAGAAGATGCTGTGACATTAGCAGAAACAGTGAGAGGTTATTTTTACTATAAGATGAGCCCATTGAAAATCAGGAAAAGGGGAAACATTTTAAGTGTAAAATCCAATTCATCTCCAATCTTAAATTCTAATTTGTCTAATTTGTCCGTAATCCAACTAGGTATATAGGTGCTTGTATAGTTGATATTAGAAATATTTTAGATTTTGAATAGTTGCGCCAAATCTATCTAAAGTGAAAAAAAACTAATCTGTATCCATAGCTTGAGTACCAAATCCTTGCAGTTTCATAAAGATTGGACAATAAACACCAAGCCCTTTTTGGAAACTAAATTTGCCATTGTGTGAAGCTTAGAGACACTGCACGGTGTGTGTGTGTGTATTGGTGTGTATAATAGGAAGTTAGAATGTTTGTAGCGATAGTTTGGCGTATCAGGGTATCTTCTAGTCAGATACGCTCTTGACACTTCTACTCGATTAAACTAGCCAACATCTTAATCGGTTCTTAATAAAAGAAAACTAACGTAGGTGAACATCTATACGAAGAGCTCAATATCTTTACATGTTTAAACTTTGAGTAATAGTTAGTATGTAATAATTAAGAAAATATATTGACAAAAAGTAAAAATATTTGCTTTTGCAATTAGCAAAGAAAAAAATGCCCCTATCTCGAACTAGACATCTAGCTACATCCAGCCAATAAAGAAATAATATCACAAAATAGAAAAAAAAAAACCAAGCTCAACTTATACTAATTGAATTGACATAGTTATCCCAAGAGCACTTAGCACACGCTGTCTCAGGCAATAATATTGTTAGACTCGACTGTAAATAAATTGAGCCAATTCTCTCGAAACCCTTTTGAAATCGAATCGTTTAGTAAGTTAGGTCATGGCACGTGTATCTCAAAACAATGGAACTATAAATATTGTGCGCGTGAATTCAAATGCCAGTTTGATTACGTCGCCTGCATTCGATTAGTTAAATATATATATTAGTTATAGTTAATTGGGTTTATTACAAAAACCGGTTGTTAATTGCCGTCAGATAAAACTAAGTCTGGGAACAATTCTTGATACACACAGAGAATTCTAGGCAAACAAACAAAAAATGTGAATTGTTAGTTAGTTCATGTCAAGAAAATGCCAGATATTAAAAGCAATTAATAATGAGGCTCGACACGGGCGGGGGTCGAGAATGCCGAGGGGCAAACAAAAGGGAGGCAAGTACATACGTGCACTTATACACATAGGTACACATGTATATGTGTGTGTGCGTGTGTGTGGAAGACCAGAGGCCCAAAGTCAAAGAAATGAAAGCCAAGCCAAGAAAAAGACTCGAACGCGGCTGCCGACAAGCAACTTTCTAAATTTTTAAGTAGGTGTATGGAGTGTAAATGTTGTTGTTGTCATACCCTGTACGCATTTCAAATGGATGGAAAGGGTATACCAGTTTTGGCCAATTACATGTTACAGGCAGATTATCTGTGCATCTGTTTCAGCGCGACCATCTCGAAAACTACAAAAGTTTCAGATTTAAAATTGAAAATATATATTATTCTATACCATATAAAGTATTTGTCGCTTGTTTTCGACATATTCACCCATTGCGTAATATCGATAAGTATTGATTTTGAGACATGTTTTTTTTTAGCAATAACTCGAAAATAATAGGAAATGTTTATCTTTTTGAAAGCTTTTCTCCATTCCCTCTACACTAAATAATTCAACAAGTTGTTAGGCTAGACCTTTACGCCTTACTATATACACATTTTTGTATGCAATAGAAAAAGCAATGTAAGATGAAGCACAGCGGGTGCAGCAACTGTTCTACACCGCTTACAGAGTATCTTCTAGTCGGGTTATGGCTGTTGCTGCAGCTGTTGCTGCTGACAGAGGGATAAGCGCGTAGGAATCAAGTACGTTTCGTATTTCAATTGAAGCGGCTGGCCAAATGGGAGAGGCTGTGGACTGGGACTGGCACTGGGACTGGGCTGCGATGCTTGGTAGCAGTTGGAAACACTTCAAGTGGCTGACAGAATTTGAGCAGCAAATGACGCAGCGCAGAGTCTAAAGCCGATGCTGGCATTTAACACAGACACACGCGCACGCACACACATAGATACAGCATTAAATCTTATTTGTATCTATGAGATACAAAAAGGCAGCTTTGAATTTTTTTTGACATTTACATAACAGCGAGCAACAGCTGCCCCGAACACGCAATTGTTTCTTATTTTCAATACTTATTTTGATTTCGATTTATGCTTCAAATAACTACTAAAAAGTATTTTGTTGCACGCTTGCCCCTCTTTGTGGCATTGTGACTAACCCGTTATATATGTTGCTTTTGTTGTTGCTGTTGCTGTTGTAATTGCTCTTGTCTCTTGGCAGTTTTGTTTTGTTGTTCTATGCGTTGCAATTTGATGTCGTTGCCATTGTCGCCGCGGCACGTTCTGTGTTAACTAAGTCAAAAGAGCAACTGATTTGGCCAACTGACTGAAAATGCGACAATAGCAGCAGCGGCAGCAGCAGCAGCAGCAGCGGCAGTTGGCAGTGGCAAAAGCCAACTCAAAACCCGTTTTACTACACCAATACACACACACGCAGCGACTGCTCTTTCGCTTGCAGAGAGAGTGTGAGAGAGAGAACGCGCATCTGTGTGTGTGTGTGTGTGTGTGTGTGTGTGTGTGTGTGTGTGTTTGGGCATGTGTGTGTCCGCCTATGAACCAAAGCACTCGACCCAGCACGACAGCCCGTCCCCCAACGAAGCCCCCTCGCTTTGTTCTATGCCCCATCGGTTTATAGCTCTTCGCCCCATAATATTCGCCACTTTGTTTGTTTCCTTTGTTTGTTTGTTGTAACGACCGTTGCCAGTGCCACTTCTGCCGCTGCTGCTGCCGTTGCCTTAAAGTAATCAACTAACATTGTTGTTGCCACTGCCACAGGCGCACCGATTTTGCACTTTTTCTCTTTTGTTCAACTCAGCTGCCGCCGACGACCCCTCCCCGCACGCCCAGCAACTTGGTGCGCGCCCATTTTGTTTCGCTGTCATTGTCAAGGCTATGCGAAAAACTACCTGTGGTAGCTGATAAGCGATTTTCATTGCGACATACCGCAACTTTCTTTTCGCCTAGAGATGCGTACGTGATGTGGCAAGTTGCTTTTTTATTCTACCATTTCGAAATACCCTGTATATTTTGTCAACTGCCCATTTCACATTTGAAGAAACTCTAGCATAACTTGTACCCATACTAAATGAGTATACGAGGAATATCCAAAGCTGCAAATCAAGAATACTTCAGTATAGATAGGGTCCTATGCTTTGTTAAAAAAGTTGTAACGAAAGGGTATCTCCATATCGGATACTTTGCATTTGTTTATTAATTATTTGGAAAATAAACTATTCGTTGAAATAAACAATTAATTTATTATTTTCTGCTAGTAAATTTCTTCATTGAAAACTTTTGCAAGTAATTTCAGAATTTTATTAATCAATTGTTGTTTATAATTCTCAAGTGAAGACAGCTTCAGACTAGGGACAACCCCTTGAGGCAAAGGCAAAGCTTGCTGATAATAAATCTGTGTTTGGTTCTCGTATTTATAGGCAGTTTTTTGTTGAATTACAGGGTATTTCATAGTCAAAAAACAACTACTATTAAGTCTTAACATTCGTCTTCGCCAATCTAGCTTTGTATTGTATGTATAGACATTTAGCAAATAATAACCGTCTCATACTTATTTAATTAGAAAGCAAATGTGCAAATTAGTGCTCGAAATAGTCACGTTTACAAATCCGTAAAGCTGTCCAGTTCTGTTTTCCATGTCTTTGTTCTGCTCTTGACAATGGCACAGGACATTCAGGGATTTTTCCCATTGTTTGTTTTTATTTTTCTTCTTTCATATACGGCCGGTCTCTTCAAGTTGTCTCATTTTAGCTCAGAGGCCAAGCTCACATGTTTATTTGTTGAAATATTATTAGATTTCTTTTTTGTTTTTTTTTTTTTTTTTTTTTTGTATTTTAATTTTTTTCAGATTGGGCAAACAGAATTGAAATGCAAATAGATGAGCCGGCTGGAAACGCTGCCCGCGTTAAGGCTGATAAGGCTAGGCGACAGCGATGAGAACAGAGCGGATGGCGCAATGGCATCATCATGATCATCATCGATAGATAATTAGCAAGGTGATAATGGGGCCGCTGAGAGCGAGAGATGCTGCCAAGCCACGACAAGTTCAAATTCCAATGTGGGTGGCGACAGGGGGCCCATTAAGTGTGTGTCTAAGCGGAGAGTGCGAGTGCGAGGGCGAGTGCGAAAAACCCATAAATCGCATTCGGTATACGGGCAGAGCTCATGTCAAGCATGGGACAGGCTGACGCACTGGTCATAAATACCAAGGCCAAGGAATAACTTGAACGTGTTTTCCTTATTTGTTTGTATTTCTTGCGATGCTCCAGTTCTACTTATGAAGATGGACATCGAATTGGACTTGCTGCCGGCGCACAAACATTTACATCAGCGAGCAACAACAAATGCCATACAAAATGACACATACCAACGCCATTGGGGCAGCTTGGCCCACTCGCATGCAAGGCCAGCTCGAGAACGAAAACAAAAAACAAAAAACAAAAAAATGAACAAAATAAAAACCTGCTCTATAAACATGGTGACCAGTAGAGTCGCGAGTGGTTCGCTCATCTTGGAAATTTTGTTTGATGCGCTGCCAGAGGGTATTACGAGTGTGTCATGAAATGTGTAACGCATAGTAGCAGACATTCCAGAGCTCATCATATAGATGTCATTTGATCGATTGGGAGGAAATAAACATTTCTCGATTTTGCGTTTTCCACATATACTGCGGTATACTCGAGTTTTAGCAGGCCAGATCGGACCGCTATATCATATAGCTGCCATTGCATCGATCGAATTAAGTTATTGTATTAAACATTTTGTAGATAGTTAAGTATTTTTGGGTTTCACCATGCAAACTACATGTAAGAAATATCGGTTATTATATCATATAGCCCTATAGCTCCTAGAATGTAACGTAAAGCTCTCTTGCCCTTCTAGACATAGATCGTACCGAATCGGTCTGCTATACTAAATGACTGATATGGAAACAATCGAACGGGAAAAATGATTTCTTATAAAAATATTCCCTAGTCGCATGCCTGCAAGGGTACTTAATCTTCGGCGTGCCAAAGTTATTTGTTTTTTTTTTTTTATTTTTTCGCATATTGTTATTTTATTTGCACTTGTCTCTATATTATTTCTATAGATTTTCTAAACGAAATGGCACTGCTGTATTATTTGTGCATTTATTTTTCTTCCAACTGTAATTTACTTATTATATGCATTTTCGTTTTATCATTTTTTATTCAAGCACAAAAATAACAACAAATTTCATGGCCCAACAAAATACTTATTGTCGTTGCCAGCTTGTGTATATATGTTTATAAATTATGTATATAGCAGTCTGTGCTTGTGGCGAATTTCTTGCAATTAATTTGAATAATTAATATGCAATGCCAACACACATATACATACACACACATACATACATACACACACACGCACACATACAGAGCGCACAACCGCGACACACCTTCACTCGTGGCCCATTTCGACAGGCGCTTTTCTTTAGAATCTCAAAATGTTCTACTGTTAACGTGACCGTTGTGGCAGCAGCATCGTTCACGCCGTTTGTGCCCCAATGTGCTTGCCACAGACGCTAACGAGGTTAATTCGCACGTTTTGACTTTGGCTCGCTTGCCGCGCAACTGATACGAGGAAACTAAAGCCGAACGTTGGCTGAAGAAAAGAAAAATATACCCAAAAGCATTGCTCAGCTCAACTGATTTCCGCTCTTCAAATTCTTGTGCTCCCTGAGCTTAGCGCTGCTCCCCGAGCCGCTGCCAGAGCGAGAGTGAGAGAGAGAAGGCACGAAACAGAGAGAGAGAGAGAGAGCGCCGTTTGTTGTTTACGCTATGTTGACGCAATATTCTTACGCTGGATGCTACGTTGCGGCTGTTTTGGGCATCTTGAGGCGTTTCCTTAATTGCAGCCTCTTTTGTTTATTTATATCATTTGTGGTTGCGTTACGTGCTGCTTCTTGGCCATTGACGGTTGTTGCTGTTGTTTGCGCTGACAGGTAATAGCCGCTAAATTCAATTGGCAGCTTTCACAGGTGTCTGTGCTTGCGGAGTTGAAATTGAAAAGAGAGCGGTGTATGTGTGAAAGAGCGCCGTTGACCATTTAAGAGCGCACATTCGATAGAGTTGCCAGATTTCATTAGATCGATGTAACGGAAAAAGTTTGTTTGATTCAGTTTGAATATTAACGGAACAAAGTACTTTAGTATTAAAATACACAGGCTAGGTAAGTATTTAGTACATTTTGGCTAAGCTCGGTGCGATTTTAAAATGATTATCTTTTTGGGACACGTATGCATCAGTGTCATAAATTTTGACCAAACTTCTCAATATTGGTCAGGTTTTATATTACAAGTCATGCAGAAAATAGAGTCGATTTTATTATTAATTAAATTTTGATTTTGATTATAAATTGGACTTGGCTTAGACTTTAGCTGAGTTGTAAAAATTGTATAGCTTGAAATTCCATTAATGAGATCCTAGATTAATCGCTAACTAGTCAAGATTAACAGATTAATATATGTAGTTAATAAAATTATTAGCTAGTTTTGCGTTTTTCTATTTAAAACATTATTTAAATGGCTCGAGCTCAAAATTATACAAAAAATTTGAATTATTTTTGATTGGATTTCTTAAATGCATTTCTATACATTTCGTAGCTATTAGATAAGTAAATTTTGTAGTTTTCAGCGCCTTGCGCATCACTTGTCGTATGCGTAATATATTGAGGGGTTTGGAAAGCCCTTAAGAGTTTGAAAGCTTTTAAAGCGCTCTCTGCCTGCTAAAAAAAGAGCGTCGTGCGAGTGAGCTTTATATAGTTCTCTCACGCAATAAAGCTTTCAGCACACTGCTCAAAATTACGTATACGCAACGTAAGCAATTTGCTGTTGGATTTATTCATTTTTTTACATTTTACACACAACATTAAATAATTTTTAAAATTTATTTGAAAATGTTTTTGTCTTTGTTCTTCAGCTTATTTGCCTTTTACGCTTTTCTTGTGCGCGACCTTTTCTAATTGAAGAGCGTAAAATGCACGTCAGAGCGGAAATGTAAACGGAAACGTAAAGCTTTTGCACAAATGTGGAAATGGCAATAACAACAACAACAAGAGCAGCATAATCGTTTTTCCACGCCAAGAGCTTTTCATTTTCAACAGCCATGCAATTACTGTGCACAGCAAAATGAGAACTGGCACACGAAGCGACTTCAAAAGGGAAGCGTAAAATTGTGCCAGCAACACATGGCGTCCCCAGTTACCCAGCTCTGCCAACCGCCTGGATAGCTGCCGACTGGGTGGGTTTTTTGGCTTTCGGAGTTCTAGGTTCTGCCCACAGACAACAAAAGCGCCTCACGTAATATAATAAAGAGATTTTCCGTAGCATACAAAGCGGCTGGCTGGTCCACGTGCCTGCGCCATATCGGGCTTGCGCCCACATTCTAATCGAAATCGGTTTTAGCTGAGCAATATATAATTGCTCTTGTACTTTGAGAGTCTGTTCGCTTTGTATAGAGATTTTTATTATATCTCTTTTATCGCTTTCTGTGCCTTACTTGTGCTAATCAACAACTGCAACAGTTTGTTGGCACGCGTCGCCTAGTCCCCATAAGGATGGATCGCATGTGGGGGGCAGAGAGCTGCACAGTTGTTCAGACAGTGAGGCATTTTCCAATTAGCCTTGTTTAATAAAATACATACTTGTGCTATGCTCTGTCCATGCTCTGTCCATGCTCTGTCCACTCACACATTTTCATTTTCACAAAGTTGACATTGTCTAATGAGCTAGCCAAACAACGAGCTTAAAGGTTTTAATCTAAGGATAGAGTGTGGCAATTATTTGTGTCAACGTGTGTAAGTTTCCTAAATATTTATGTTTCTCAGAACTAATACGCACAGGCAGGGCTCTTCTTTGATTTTCCTTGGTTAAGGTTTTCCAGAACTAATAGCTTCTAGCCGAATTCTTCCAAGAATGCCCTTAGTTGTAGTATACATTCTTCATTTCAAATATTTCTATTTAGATTTGATTTGATTTTTGTGACTGGCTCAAATTTATGAGATATTTTTTTTCAATGCCACTGAATTGCTTAAGATCTGACCTTAATTATTCGAGCTATAGTCGTTTTACGGTCAAAAACTAGTGATTCCTGAAATAATATTTAGGGGTTATTTGGTAATATTTATATTATATTGTCCTACATCTAGAATTGTATTCCTAACATGATCAAAAAGGTTCATTATTGAAAGATCTGATTTTATTTGCTTCAGCTACTGTACATTTTGTACTTTCCTGGATGGTTCCTAGACAATTATTATATCCATGTTAATCGTATCATCGATATAGTTCTGGTGAACCTAAAGCAACAAATTCTTGCAATAAGTATAGAAGTAATCTCCCTAGCAGATGTTGTGCTCACGTGTCTGTTCGGATTGTGCGGAAAATATATGAATGGCTTTCAATTCATTTCGCTTATTATGAATTATTAAGTCTATAGTTTTCGCAATTGGCTTTCTAGAAACTTCTATTCGCACATTACATAAGCTGGAATTCGCATTAGGAATTCATCCCAAAAGTGCCGCCCCTAAAAATATGCATTCGAAATTTTCGACCTACATATTTTGACGACCTTGCTTGCCAATTTATTATACATTCTGGGAATTTATGAATAATCTGGGAAATCACTGAGTATACATGGTCCACAAAGGTGTGCCTCAGCAGAAATGCATTTAACTAGAATCTAACTCTTTTGTATATATAAGAATGAATTGAACTGTTTGAAGTTTCCTGTATTCACCTTCAACTTTTCTGCTGCAGCAACGTGACGTAATCCTCTTAAAGTATATTCTTTAAATATAGTTTTTAGTTTAAGCCCCTCGGTCGACTCAATCAAACAATGGTCAAAGTTCGTTATACAGCACGATGTAAGCCACTTGTATTTGGTTGTGAAGCTCCATCTTAAGAGGTTTTTGGGTTTTATATGTTTTGTGCAAATTTCGTACGAATTTGTAGATGCTGCTTAAAGAAATACATGCCGCTAGATATCTTTTGAATAAATATGTAGATACGTGTTAAATAATAATGATAATAACAATATTGCATATCAATAAAAGCAAATATTATTATATAAATCGGAGCCATTTGAATAATTGGGGATTTGTTTGCCTGACATACTTACGCAGACATATCTTACATGCATACATTTACGTACTTAGAGTAGACCTTCTAAGAATGCTTTGAATAAATTCGGAAAACGATATTCCAAATGACATCGTTAAGAAGACCCAAAGTTAGGGCAAACATATGGTGATTTTTTAATTGAGCGCGCCTCGTAAATCTATGCCAATGCCGAGTTCCAGGGCTGTCCGTTGCCTTCTAACATCTTTTTTTTTTTTTTTTTTGATAAGCAAAATAAGTTAAACGCAAAACTCAAACTCAACAATTTTGTTAGCTAGCACATTAAATTTACATATATTTCTATGAGTAAAACACAGAAGCAGTCTCTGCTTCAGCTTCAGTCGCAGACCCTCAAATTTGGGGCAGCTTCTAAGTGGGCAGTTGGGAGGGGGCGGGATTGCACGGGCCTGGCTAATGCGGCAATTGTTAAACCAAATGCAAATAGATGTTGAAAGTTGCGGACTTCGTCTCTGCCTGGCCGCGTGCAGCACATAAATCAGTTGCCGGATTCAAGCTGAAGCTGTGTCGCCATGGTGCACGCCTCCTTGTCGACTGTTAGTTTGGTAACGCGCTGAAGCGTTTTTATGGTCTGCATGTACAATTTCTTGGCCAATTCCTTGTCCCGGCCAGCCTCCGAAGTTGGCGCAATTTCGCAGTCACTGCAAGTAGCCAAGAAATGTTGCACTGCAAAGAAAATGGAAGAAAATGCCGCTAATGCGGCAACAGCCGGTTCCGGCAAAATGGCTCACAACTCACTTGAAGTACTCGCCGGTTACTTGCTTCAGCTGGGGATCCGTTGCCAGCCGTATGGCGCACTGGGCGCCCTCGCTGGCATTCTTCATGAACAGCCACATCCACGGGTAGGTGATCACCTTAACGCAAATGGCCGACATTAGCGGTGAGCTATGCGCGTTGCGTGGCACATCAAAGACGAATAAAAATACAACAGAGAACAAAAGTTAGCTTAATTTCGTTTCCCTTGTAATTAAAATGCAAAACACGCAGCAAATAGAGATTAGTCGACTACTAGATGCTCTATGGGAATGAGGAAAAGCTATAAATTGACGGAAAAGTAAAGTTTGCAATCAAAATTTCTATTTTCTTTTATGCATTTATGAGAGTAAGCATTTTCTTTATTTACCAGCAAACTGCAAACTGGCTTTAGGCCAAACCGATTTGCATCCTGAATAAAGAACTATTGTTTAAAAAGGATCTAGAAAAAATTTAACGAGTAGCTGAATCGAAAGCCAAACGCCACATTTTTTACATTTTATCATGTGGTTTGGTGTAAAATAAATATGTTTGGAGGAGGGCAATCAGAAGCAACTACTTAGATCATGTAATTTTAAGTAAATTCTTTCTTTGAGTTTGCAGCCCTGATATCCATTTACCAGCCTTAATAAACATTCCACATATAATATGCTGCGTGTACCTCCTTTTACAGTTCACATTT